CACATGGCTGCGGCCACCAGCCCCGTTGAGAAGGACGTTCGCGAAAGTTCAACATTGTGGTGACGTAGCTCCATAGGAGGGAGAATGCCTTCCCTCTTCCTTTTTCGTACTTGATCTTGAGGTACCATTATAAATAAAACGAAGTATAGCTAGTCAGCTAGGTCAAATTCAGCCGTGCTGTCTGGAGGAGAATTTTAGCGACCGGCTGCTCTGATCGGTAGTTTTCCGCTCCGATCAACTCTAGGTGAATGTCGGAGCAATATCTTAACGGGCTACGGACCGCGCTTGTACTTCATTCCACTTCCTTGTCCTTTCCTCATCCTTTACATACATACACCACACGGACTACATTGTCGGGAGACCAGTCGGAAGCCTAGAGCATGTCCCGGCTGAGGAAGTGCCCCGCTAGAGGGAATTGGGGAAAATCTCCGCAAGCTGACGTAGATCGGCGCCGAATCTCATCAGGAAGCGGAGGAAGATTCAGTCATCTCCCCCACAATAAAAGCATGAACTACACTTACGGGACTAATGACAGGCTATAACACTCCTGGAATCACTAATAAATCAATGTAGTACCACTAGTTGATGTAAGAATCATATCGTCGTTGTGACTCTCCATAAAAGCGTTTTGTAAAACCAAGTTCCTCGGGCTTCATTAGGTTGAGCACTCCTAGTCCTGAAGGTACTATGGTAGTTCTGTGTTGTTTAGTTGCGACGTTCTTTGCGATGGAGAGATAATTTGTGGGAACGCGATTTAAATAGGACAGACTTTGGACAGATTTGGTACAACTTGACCCAGCTGACCACCCCCCTTCTGGACACCAATGAAAATTGTTAAAGCTCACTTTCTAGTGCTTTGTCTAGAGCATGCAATTTTCATGCGTGTTTCATGAGTAAGTATTGGCCTCGACGAGTGTAGCGCTCTCGGCAACAATACAGGCTAAACATTCGTGCTCGCACACGACATATTAGTCTCAAACATATCTTAGCACTTCAATGGGCAAAACTAACCTTCAAAAGTATTATATATTACTTGTTTTAAACATGCGAATTGTAATGCAAAACTTCTCAAAACTCTTTGAGGTCATGAATACAACGGCATCACCGTCGGTGGGAGGGTGGGGGCAAGTGCCCCCTCCCCATACTATTGTTTCTTATGTAGAGTTTACTGGAGGAGATTCCCCGGTAACATGTACATTATATATTGAATCGCCCCTCCCCAATTATTTACTGCTAGTGACACTTATTCATGAAGCTACGTGTAGGGCTGGAAAAAAATTTCAACTGTGACGATTTTGATGAGTGGCAACACTGCTCATAAGTGATCTTTAACGAAGGCGCGGGAAGTTCTTAGCAATTGTGAATGGACACACATTTAAAACGTGAACAAATTTAGTTAGATTAATTCTGTGTTGATCATGAGTACAGCCAATGGTTCATCTTCATCTAAAGATGATAACAGTAGCTGTCCTGATATCAGCAAATACTTGTCGGTATTGCTGGATGAAGAATCGTCGGAAGATGAGTAAGTTTCATTGTTTTAAAATTATGTGGGCTGAAATTATTTAATTATTCGTTTATTTTCCTGGTATATTTTTATGTCTAATTTAGATAAAAGACGATTATTAGTTTTCGATATTCCATCGACGATTTTTCTGTTGATCATGCCAATGTTTATATCTTAACGAGTTTATTTTTGGATCATAATTTGGGAAGAAACACCAAAAGCATTTTAACCATAATTAATTTTTTTTTGTAATAACAACTCGACATAAGTGCATTTTCCAATAATTTTTAGTCAAAAAAATCATAATTATTAAATACTATTTCTTACTCACCATGATGTTTTACTATGCCAAGTGATTCAAACGAAACAAAATGTAATGATATCACCAAAAATGATTCATCTACAACCAAAGAAAGTGATGAAACTTTCCAAGTTTTGAATAATCCAAACATTGATGATTCGGAATCATCAGAATTAGAAGAGGTAATGATAATAAATAATAATTTATTTATCACATATTACAGTACAAATGTGACATTCCAATTTACTTTGAAAATATTTTCTCTTAGTAAATAAGTGAAACCATGTGCCAATATTTACACATCCTTACTAAATACAATTACAAAAAGTAAAATGATGCCTTGAGTCTCAATATTTCAGGTCTTTCTTTCTGTATGCTGGAGAAAAGGAATGCTAGGTGCAGCTGCTTATAGTATGGAATCTTCAGAAGTAGGTGGATATTTCAATTTTGTTCAAGTTCTTTAAAATATTTAATTTGTCTCTTATCAGTTGTATTGGTACATATCAGGAAAATTTGTCCTTTGCAGCCAGCGCATTGTGCCACTTAATTCCAATTGATTGCAATGTGTATCACAGAAAAATTGAAAAATAGAAATGACAACTACTTTCTAAATCACATTTCATTAGCTGAAGATTAAAACTGCTTTTTTTAATTCAAAAGTAATCATTAATATTTTTCTTGAGCTGTGTTAAATTGGTTGAATCTGGAAACAACAACAATATGTGGCAGTATTTTAATGTTCAACTACTTGTAAGAGTTGTTCTTGATAAAATTTTGAAAATTTTATTTTTTCTTCCTCTTGTTTTTGAAAGAAAAAATATAAAACAGAATGAATGAATGAATAATAAATGAATTAGTAATTTAGTACATTAAAAATATTTTAAACTTACTCAAAAGATATTTTTCAAACTAGAGAAAATAATAATTGAAATACAGAGTTAAATAACTACAGAAAATTCATGTTGTTTGTTTCACTTTGTTGGATTGGATCACATCATGTACAGTGAAAGCTTGATTATTTGTGACCCCATTAACCATCTTCATTGCCGAACTGCTGCTGTGAATGAAATATTGAAAGTGAACAGGAGACCAAAGAAAAAACAAAGCACCCATCATGCTTGCTAAAGCAGAGATTCTTCTTTCCAATACCATGTCTGGTCTGAACAGAAAGACTTAAGCAGAAACTACTCAGTTATTACAACTCTGAAATATATGAGACACAAAAAGTGGAGTGTTTAAAGAAAAATCAAGAAAAAAAGACTTTTTCAAACAAAAATAATTGTATATAAATAATTTTTGTAGTGGTGTGTAGATTTTTAAATGTTCACTTGTGTTTATCTCAAAAACATTTCTGTATGGGTTATAATCTATCAAAGCCAAACTTTATTTATTGAAGTATAGTCCTATTCTGGTTTCATAGGTCTTCTAATACTTTTCTTAATACTTATTGTTATGAATTTTTCTAACTATGTAATATATCTTCATTACAAAATACTTGTGATTTTGTTATAATATAATAAAGATGTATGTTTATCTTTACAGCTATCAGTGCTAAATGACATAGTTGATGTAAATCCAGAATTCATTTTAACTACCATTCTTTTCAATCAAGTTCAGCCTAAGAAAGTTATTTGCAGTTCTTCAGCTTCAATCAAATTTATAAGTGTGCTTAAAACTCTAGTTAATGGCGAATTATCACCTGGACATGACCTTGCTGACCAGAAGAAGCTAATATTACTTCCTGGCAAAGAATATGGTAAGAAATAGACACTAATTTACAAGCAAAAGGTAATAAAGCATCGTTGGCTAAATCATAGTTTAGAAACTCTTAAGAACGAAACAGTGCATTTGTCATAAGCTCATTAGTTGTGATTATGGTTACAGTCAAATTATTTATCAAACAATTTTAACAAATTATTATCAATTTTATAAGTGGATAGGTATTTTTATCTCTGACATCCTATGTGCAATTTTCTAAGTACCTGCTACCAATGAATATCACAGGGAATTAGCAGTTTGTAAACAAAATTATTGCATACAATGAATAACATATAAAGTACACACCAATATTATCATCCAAACGTAAGTGGGGTGGCTTATATGTTGGGGGTGCCTATATTTGAGAGAATACAGTATGTTTATTCACACACACACAGACACAGACACACACACACACGTTTTAAAATTCAGGGAGGTTTTTAAAAGATAATATAGGAATCAGAGACCATGAAAGCCATTTGAAGAAACTACAACTGTTTGACTATCAATTTTTATAATGGACAATTTGTGTCTTTGTTTCTTTATATTCATGGAATGGATGGCTTGTGGCTTAGTGAGATAATGGAATATTTCCTGTAGGTCAGTGTTTCAATACTTTTGAAGTTTCAGTAACGTCAGCTGTCATCTCTTACTTAAGAATGGAATCCTTTACCTGGCATGTCAGTTCATATGTCAGGTGCTTGAGAGCAACTGCAGTGAATGTGACTCTTCTTTGAGAGTCATTTTAGAGGAAGTTAATATATTTAGTGAAATATAGATTGTTATTTGTTGTTCTAAATTTGATTATTGAAAGGAAATGTTTAATACAGAGTTTTGAAAGTATCACTTTTGAGCATGCTGAAAGCCATTACCAAAGTGCTTATTAGCATTGTTAGCTTTCTTCACTGTAAAGGACACTTGTCAAGATATTGCAACCATTTTTCCTGATCTACTCTTTGGTCTGTCTCGGTCTCACATTAAGTACTTTTGATTTGTTTTTAATCAAATTGTTATCAATCATATTGAAATAATAAAAAATATTATTTACCATTATTTGATGAACATAAAGATGAATATTACATCAATAAGAACTTAAAAATAACATGTGTAGACAACATAATATAGTATGTGTGGAAGCTTACGACAATTTGAGTGATACTTTAAAACTAAATAATGCACAGAAAATAAAAATGATAAGTCATTGAGGAGACACCTCATAACTTTATCAAGAAAAGAAATACACTCTTCTGATTGGTGAGGTTTTTGGTAAATTTTGCTTATTTTTTCTTATCCTTTCATTTTCTAGTCATTTTTAATTTTCTATTTTTCTATCACGTATTTGTGAAATGAAATGCGAGGAAAAACAGATGTCAGTCCTCTGGAAAGACATTTATTATTTAGTTAGCTTAATCCAAGTCTGCGCACAGGCAATAACTGCCTTCTGCAGAGTATCTATGGATACTTTACTATTTCATTTAGACAATATGTATGTATATATGTGTGGTAACTTGGAAAATAATTTCAATAATTTGAATAGAACAATTTTTTTAATGTTTAAAGAACTTCACAAAACTATAAAATTTAATCTGTATCACTTCAATTAGTGATCAGAGAACTTATTTTTTCTTCCTTTATGTTTCAGCATATGATGCTTGCCGCAGACAAATACTGTCGCTAAAATTGCCTGGAGCTCATTGTGATATGAATCCTGAAGAACAACGATGGCATGTTCAATCTAAGTTTGATTTGCAGTCTGAATCAATGGTTCTTGCTTTGGGGATGCTGTTGAAGTGTCTAGAAAAGTCATTTGTACATTTGAACCTTGAAGCTGGCGATAACAAAGCTCCTATTAATTCAATTACAGATATTAATTTGTAGGTTCCATTGTAATAATTTTCTATATTTCAATCTTTTCTCTTAACTAAGGGTAATTAATGAATTAATATTCTTCTCAAGATATTTCATTTTGCAATCACAGTAATGAAATTATGCATTTTTTAAAGTCATTCTGTAATACTTTCATAAATGTCACAAATTTTATTACTTTGCTTTTTCTATTTAGAGAAAATTTGGTAAATATGGACACGGAAACTTTCCGAGCTTTAAAAATATTCAATCAAATTTCTCATCCTTCAAATTTCATGAAAGGATTAGTCAGCAGTAACAAAGAAGGACTAAGTATATTTGGAATTTTCAACAGATGTAAAACAGTAGCTGGAAGTAAATTCATGAGGTAAATTCAAGAGTATGTAATTGTCTGGAATAAATATTTTTTGTAATAAATATTCATCTTTCTGTTCATAAATTTTAGAGTAATGCTTCTTCAGCCATCTCATGATCTTGAAGTTCTAAATAATCGACTTGATGTGGTTGAGTTTTCTTACAATCCAAGAAATGATGAAATCATAAAGTGCATGGGAGATCATTTAAAATCTATTAAAAGTATAAATGTTAGTTTCATTTTGATGCTATTTTTACATGGTTGCATTATTAGATAGCTTTCATTGTTTCATTCAAAATGTATATTCTCTCAATAAATAGACTTTAAAAAACTTTAACATTTAGAAAACTTGCTTTATTCTCAGAAAATAATGTCCCGTCTCATGGCTGCTCGAGCTTCTATTAATGAATGGAAGACATTGCATAAGGTTGGTTTTAATTTTTTTGATAAGAAGGTAAAAAACAACATTAATATATACTTCTGTGCTCCCTTTATCACTCCTTTTCAAAACATTCTTATTTTTCAGACAATTTATCATTGCATTTCTCTTGGTGAACTTTGTAGACGTGCTTCATCACAAGCAAAATTATTTGAAGAGGTAATTTCTCTGAATATATCTCTGAAATATTATTGTATTACATTTATGTAATACAATATATTGCATGTATTAATTGTAATGTATTTACATTAATTTCCATTTTAGATATCTCTTTGTAACACTGAAACAATGTATCATATCATTCATTGCATTGACAGTATTATTGATTTTACTGAATCAGAAAGACTCAACAAGTTTTCTGTGAAAAGTGGTCTGGATGAAGAACTTGATCAAAGTCAGTAATTTGTTGGTTTTGGTTTTAGTGTTGTTAATTATTATTTCATAACTTGTTGAAAAAGTTTTGTTTTTTTTCTTTCAGAAAAGTATAAATATAGTAAGTTACATGAAGTAATGTCAAATTTGGCAAAATCTGAATTGGGAACATTACCACCTCACGTTCAAGAATGTTCTGTGGTTTACATTCCTGAGATTGGTTACCTTCTTGCTATAACAGAATGGAAAACCAATGTGTCTGAAGATGAGGCACTAATCCCTGGTTTAGATTTAATGGTTATTCTATTTTATTTTATTTTATTAAGGATGTTTTGCAAGTTGCCTCTTTGAGACTTTGGATTTGTAATGTGAATCTTAAAGCTTCCCTTGAAATTGTATAAGTAGTAGTATTTACCTACTACAAAAGGAATCAGTGAATGTGTTATACAGAGTGCCAGGAAATTCTCTCCTCAATGGCACCTTGATGGTGAGAGTGCTATCTACAGAAATTATATTGGTAGTGCTAGCTGCAGCTTGTAACAAAAGAAAACATACATTGCGTACTCACCATAATTTTTAATTCCTGTTTTCATGGTGGAATAAGTCACATTTCGCATCTTTCACGGTCGTGCTGCTAGATGTCGTATGATCGCAACTTTTTATCAAACACTGATTTTTGTAATTTAAAAAGAAAACATACCTTGTTCGATAATACATTATCTTTCAAGGGGTTGAATTAAATGCAATAATAATTCAAGCTTACGAGGGAAAACTTACAGAAGTAACCTCATAACTTATTACTGAAACATATAATAAGATTGAATAAGTATAAATTGATTCATTAAATACTAGCAGAATATTTTAATTCAGTAATACAGTTAACAATTTATAAATAGTAAAGTTCTTTTTTTAGGAAGAAAGAATGAGCTTATTATGGAGGTTGTATATGTCTTTAGCAAAATGTGAATCAGAACATGGATAAGGATTAGCTGATTTGCCAAGATTGAAAATGTGAGCAGGACATGCAGAGAGACTGGAGAAGAATCTAGTAAAAGGAATATTAATCCAGGTTTTTAAAGAACAATGCTTGTTACTTCTAAAATTTCATTATTTTGAAAAACCAAGAGGTTTTTAAAATATTTCTTAAATACCTATATTGTATAACTTCCAGTTGTTGAAAATTAGAATTTGCAGTACCACCCCAAATAGGGCAGGCTAAGGAAGGACAAATAATGTATGTAGATATACAGAGTATCCTACCAACTATGGACTACCGTTATAACTTCTCAATGGTTTAGGATATCGAAATGGAGTTTTCGCTTAACATTGTGGAGTCAGGGGGAAACATGCTGAAGAGAAATTGTGTATAATATTTTTAGTTTTCGAGTAATTTTATAATCTTTGGTTTTTTTAATGGAACTATATATTTTTCTCACCTGCAATGGATAACATAATTTTTATTATTTGTTGAAATAAATATAATAACTCATAGTTACTTAATACAACTTTTGCATTTTTTATTTGGGGGGGGGGGGCATAGCCCCGGGGCCAAAATTTTCTAGCTCCTAGGCGAGAAGTGAACCCTCGAACCTTCAGGTACAGCTCGTCAGCCCTAGTTAACCCGGCTATCCAGATTGGCCCACAGTAATTTTTGTTAAAGCTTACCAAATATTTAAATATCCAAATCTTACACTTATTAGAGCATCATTCAGTAATGACTATCTTGTAGGATAAAGTCATTTCAATATAAGATTATTTTGCTTCTTATCTAAATCCAGCACTGTTAATAATACTATGTTCAGTCTATTAGTGTTATGACCAAAGAAACATAGCAGTAAACAGTGTGTCAAATGTCTGAATTTCTAATATTCCATATATGGCATCATTCGGCACAAGATTTAAATTATGAGCAGTACAATGCATTGCAAATTTACCTAATTTTTTTCTTAACACCATTGCAAATTCCACGCATGCTTCACCATCACATCCTTGATGTTCACATTTAGATAAATCAATCCCTTGTTCCTTTAGGCATTCAACAATATCAAACTACAACCCTTGTGCTGATGCGATCTTGAACATTCTGAAATCTTAAGATAAATTAATTATTTTTACTTTTAATCTATTTGCTAGATTATTGTTTCTCGACGGTTACATATCATAAAATTGAACTTAGTTGGTCAACTAATAAGTTTAATAAGTTTTGCACTGCATGTATTATAATAGAAAAAATGGAGCTTCAATTATTTCTTCTATGATTTTATCCGACTGTGTCCTTTGGTCTTGGCTAGCTATTCAGACTTGTCACATATCCTTGCCAGCTGCCATCTATCACAGCCCAAAGTACATTTTTTTGAAATGTTAATTTTTCAGTTTTGTAATAGAACGGAAATATTCTAATAATATTACAGAACAGTAAAACCTCATCATAAATAGCAATTTTCTTTGAAAAATTTGAAGCCATTTTTAAGCAAAAAGCACCTAAACATTACTGTAAATTCTAAATTTGCTCATTTTCACAGAACATTTTTGAGTTTTCCAAGTCAGTTGAAGCACATTAACTCAAAAAAAAAAAAAAATAGTATGTTCATATTGCTGGAAATGTGCATATTAATGGTGTGAGAGATCTTTCCAAAAAAATTATATCAACTGTAGATAAATTTTCAGATTGTTTATTAAAAACATGTGCTCCTGCCTTCATACTCTCATTAATACACGTGCTTCTTTATGAACAGGAATATTTCCAGATATTTTCAAAAGAACAAAATTTAAGCCCCTTTTAAAAAGCCACCAAAAATGAAATTCAAAATTATTGACCAATTCCTCTTTTGTAAGATTTCTCAAAAACATTATAGGGTTTTCTATATGTGCATGGAAACTTTTCTCAGAAAAAAACAAAGCATTTTCAGACTCACAACATGGATTTAGAAAATCAAAAACGATGAAAACTGCCATTTTTTCTAATCTTAAAGATATTGCTACATCAACGGACCAAAATGAACTACCTACTGGTGCTTTTGATTTTTTTGACGAATCTCTCATGTCGTTAATATTTATATTAATGGTGATTTGTTCACATTATTATATTTATGAGTACATGTGCTTTAAATAATGTCTTATAAAGTTTCTCAAAAACTCAATCATTTTCTGTCAAAACTCAAACATTTTCTGTTCAAAATTTTGCATTTTCAGAATCACCCAAATATTTTTTCTCAAAACCACTCCAAATTTGTTCGTTAAACTTTTCGAAGGGATAGTGCTAATTGCACTGATTAATATGACATAAAGTTTATTTTGGGGTATTGTTTTGTTCTTTCTAAAATGATTCAAATGTAATTTTTTGGAAGATTTCTCACACCATTAATATGCACATTTCCACCAATTTGTAAACACTATTGTATTTATGAGTTAATGTGCTTCAATAGACTTTGAAAGAAATTTTTCAAAAACACAAAAATTTTCTGTGAAAAAGAGCTTAAAATTTTGAATTTACAGTAGCACTTAAACAACATTTTCATAAAAAATGGCTCCAAATTTTTCCTAGAAAATTGTCATTTGGACGAGGTTTTACTGTTCATTAATATTCTTAAAATAATACTTCGGTTCTACTATTAGGAAACTGAAAAATTAAGAAAATTTCAATAAATGTACATTGGGCAGCGATAGATGGCAGCAGGGAAGAGTATGTGGCGATTTTGAATAGCTAGCCGAAACTAAAGGAAATATAATACTAATACGGGAAATTCTGTTTGATTTGTAGCACCACTAGTTTTATATTTGCTTCTTCTTAGAGTAAATATGCTTTCTACGAAATATTAATCAATTATCACCCATTGTTACATCACAATGGATGATTAAAGTTCTTCTCATTTGCATTACATGTCCGTATTATTTATTTTTTCTGGATTATGTTAAAAGACAGAATTTGATTTTCAAAACACCACATGTCAGAGTATAGATAGATGTACATTTTCACTTTATATTGATAATTTGCATACATTTGTTTTTAACAATCAAGCTCAAAACATTAATATATTAATAATTCAAAATGCAATGTTTTAATTCAAACAAGAAAAAAATCAATGAATAACGATGGATATTTGTATGCCATCCTGAAAATTGTGAGATGTGACCATAAAAACTAAGACCGTAAAAAAATTAAATTCATGTTCCTGGGATAGTCTTTAGTCCCCCAAACCCCTCCTCTAACATTTGAGCTTCCTCTTCGTGCTCAACTTTCGTTGTGAAATGAAACACAACTTCTTGAATGCCATTTCATTCAACTCATTTTGCCAATTCATATACTTCTTTTCAAGTGGAGATGTGGGTCCCTAATGGATAACTAATCTCTTTGATGTTCAAAATTTTCTTGGAAATATTCAATAAGTTTCTTCCGAAATATGTGTACTCCTTCACATCCATAACAAACATACTGATATTATTGACTAAGGTTCGATAAATATTCATCATCTCTTGTATTTGCTCACCTTGGTTTCTCCTTCCAACAACAGGAATGTTTATAGTAATTTTTGATATTTTATGACGACAGCCATCACAAATTGAAACACCAAACATCAAGTGTGGAATCTTTATGCATTTCCTCAGTCACCATCTTTTTTACGATGTGATTGGAATACTTTTGGAGTTCAAAAGGATTGCAACACTTCAAAAGTATTCCTTTTTTAAATTTTGGCATTTTAAATAAGGCTTTTAACGTGCAATTGTTTTACTATTCAATTCACAGTTGGACAACAATGAATACGACTTACTCGCCCAAATATCAGCATTCCACTGAAGCAAGCTCCCTAATGCAATGAAATTCGCACAACAACATTCAGTGAGGAAAGAGTTGCGAACAAAGACTTTTATCACTATATACCTCATAAGCCCTTCTGAAGGTCCCCTTTGTACCCGACCTTCAGTGAACTTAAAAGTGCCCATCACTCTGGCTGAGTGTTAGACACAGCAGCTCGAGTGCAAGCAATTATGGTCCTTAAAGATAAACAACGCTGATATTAATTTATTTATGACCTGAAACACGATGAAATTAAACCAAGAATAAATTATTAGATGATCTTTATGTAGGAAAAAATTAATTTTATTCAAAACATTGCTTTTTTAATTATGAATATTACTTGTAACTTTGCATTAATTGTTGCAAATATTATTAACAATTATTTCAATTAATTTACCTCCATTTCAACATGTATGTATCAACTTTAAATTGGTACTTTGTTTGTTCTGTTACAAATAAAAGTGTTTTAATGATGAATATTTTTGAATGTCTTGCAAGTTCAGTACCGGAATATTTCTCTCATTTGTTGTAGGCAATCCTTTTAAACTAGGAGTCTTAAAAATTGCCATGTAACTACCTATTACTAAGTTAATCGAATACTGAAATATGAAAACATTCGAGAACCTTCCCTTCAAAATCATAAAATTTTGGAATGAATGACCTTATATTCACGTCCAATTCCTTGTGCGGTCTTCTATGTTGTCTTTCTCGTCAGGGCTATTTAAGTTTCTCTGAATCCGTTATAAGAGTGAGTGGGTGATTGCCCCCTTCGTCACTTTGCCCTGTGAGCATGTCTGCTTCCCGCCTCTGAGCCTACATGATTTTGTTTGAGGTTTTCTCCCCTAGACTTTGGAGATGCCTTTCTTCCCTGCAAGGCAGCAGGTTGGTTTTCTATCAGGGTTTCCTTCCTTTATCGCAATGCTCCAGTTTTCAGGCACCGGAGACTCACCCTTGCCCCGATCTCATTAGCTGCTCTCCAAGCTCACCTTAGAAAGCACCCAGGGGCTGCTGCGAGGAGGAGAACGGGGCTTTTGACCCAAATCGGATATTCCCATTTCAGGAGGACATTACTGTTGTTTACTTGTGGGCATAGGTAAGCCCACGGCAGGACCAAGTCTGCCATTTGACCCCCAAACATCTATCTCAATGAGTAGAAATACTAAATTGGCAGAAAAGAACATTCTTTACATACCTTCTAATTCTTGGTCATTTGAGCATGGGGTCTCACAAGGTTATATCTTAAGTCCTCTCCTCTTTCTTTTGAATGTAAACAAGATGTCTTCATCTATTAAAACTGGAAGAACATTTCTGTTTACTGATGACACAAATGTTCTTTGCAAAAAAGAAACAATAAATAGTACAATTTCAGAAATTTCATAATAAAAAATAAGTTAACAAAAGAAAAATCCTTTTAATGCATTTTTACTTTTCAAACTGGCATTCACATGCTCCGTTGAAAATGAAAAATATGCAATTAACTGATGTTAAGGTAACAAGATTTTTGGGACTCTCAATTCAATCTATCCTCAAATGGAATATTTATATAACCGAATTAAACACTAAATCAAGTTCATTATGTTATGCATTCAAACTTCTTTCAAATTCTGTCAGCCTTGCAGCTTGTTGTGTATATTTGCATATAATGTATATTACCACCTGAGATATTCTGGAGAAGTTTGTCCTATAGTACTCAGATTTTATATTGCAGAAAAATATAATTTGAATAATTAGCAAATGCCATCCACATGATTCCTGCAAGACTCTTTATTGAGCTTGGAATGTAAAACTGATATTTATAATTACAACACACATAGAAATCTCTTTCATCATGTCTTAGTATCATCAGCTCACTACAAGAAATCCACATATAATAAATGTTCATTACTTAACAACACATTGCCAGATAACATTAAACAATTAAAATTGATACACTAATTTAAGTTAAAAGTAAAATATTTTTTGCTGCATAACTGTTTCTATACAATTAAAGAATATAGTGACCATCAAAAAGAAAAAAAAATATTTTAACAATAATATATAATACCTTAGTTTACTTTTGTATTGTATGATTTAAAAAAAAGACTTAATGTGCTTGTAACAAGTAATGTACTTTTTGCCCAGCTTCCCTGATTCATTTAGAAAGTGCTGAAGTTACTCCATGTTTTGCTCTGGATGTAAATGTAGCTTCATTATGCTCACACTTGGTTGAGCTTTCCTTTGGTAGTTGTGTTAAGAGTAGAGCCAGGGGCAGAGGTTTCTATTTTCTTATAGATTCTAACAACTTAACTCTGTAATTTATTTACCAATGCAACCAATTTTATATTCTAACTCGGGAGTGTAAATGTCTATTTTCAAATGTTACTAAACTTGCTTTGTTGGTTCTTTTATTCATTAATCTACTATTTATGGTTAATGGGTAGGGAAGGTATTACAGAGCTCAAGAAAAGTGCACAGATTGTTATCCCCCATACATTACATACAGTTTTTACCATTCATTGACAAAATAAATCAAATCAAAAAAAATAAATTGAAACTACTAAGGATGCTGTTGTTGCCCATTGAGGCTGTTCTGCAAAATCAAATGATGATAATTTTCTTTGTATTTATTTGTGTAAATAAAACATTGAAAAATGATTCACTTTGACATTGATTTATTCCTCCACACTCTCGTGGAGACAATATGACAAGCAACCCTGTGCGTGGGGTTGGCTAGCTCATCTTGTCTTGATGACTTTTAATGACACTGGAATTGCATAAAAAATATGTTACTAAACTTGGTACTTGTATATGGTGCCAAAGAGCCCCAGTCTACCCTAGTTGATTGTTTAGGAAAATATAACTCTTTTTAATCTCTGAAAATAAAAGCAATTCTTTGAAACAATATTGGAAAAGAATTGTTAGAAGAGTGTGTACATAGCTCACACAGCTGTGTTTTAATGTCAGCATGCCAAGCATTTAATAGCAGCAGCTACATGCCACTGATGACATTTACTATCTTTGAGGAAAGACAATAAATATTACTTTATAATGAATTATTTATATTTAAGCTAGGATGTGATATTAAAGTCGTTGGCATTTTATTCAGTGAGTTGCAGGTATATGTTTATGGCCTCAGCATTCTGGTAAGTGGTGCCTTTTTATTTGGCACTCAGTGGGAAGGGCTTTGTAGAAAGATACGTAATTTCATTTTGTGAATCAGTGCTATTCTATATTTTGTGAATCATTTCAATTGAATTAGTGCTATGATATAGAAGTATGTGTTCTCGTGGGCAGATTTAGCAGTGAGAATGATCCTGGGATGAATTTATCTTTCCCAACAATATGTGAATTTCAACTATCCAAACAGTCTTGTTACGTGGGTTTGACTTGCTAAGTTTCTTCAAATCTTTTCATATATTACTTCAGAACATCATTTTATTTCAAGAATTTTTTGGTGACAATTTTAAGACCTTTCATTTTCAATTTTCATTGACACTTCCTTTTTGTTTTTCAGTTTTCTGCTGGGAGCACATTATATTACAAAAGTGCAAAAACACGTGGTAAAGTTAATGAAATTACAAATGGACATATACATATTATTGGTTTTCAATGATGTTTTGTGATATTTTGTGTAAATTGCAGAACTAGATAGCAGAATTGGGGATTGTGTGGTTGAAATATCTGAACATGAATCACGAATAATGGTTCAATTGGTGCAGTTTCTTCAGGAACATGTATCTCACCTTCAGCACATGATTGCTTTATCTGCTCAACTTGATTGGTTAGTTTGTAAATATGAGAAATTACTGCTCATTATTAATAAGTTTGTTTTAAATTCAATTTTTAATCATTATTTTAATTTGTGATTTTTATCTCTCAATCTTAGTTTGATATCTTTAGGAACAGTAGCACGGGAAAACAATTATGTACGTCCAGTCCTCACTGATACTCGGATCATTAATATACAAAATGGAAGACATCCCTTACAGGAGTTATGTGTCAATGATTTTGTCCCTAATGACACCTTCTCTGGTGGTAAACAAGACACACATGGCCTTATGAAAATTTTGACAGGTCCAAATGCATGTGGAAAGAGTGTGTATCTCAAACAGGTAGGTAAAACATATATGTTTTCCAATTTTGTAATTGGAAACCACTAATTTAAATCATGGTTTTAAAATTTTTTTAATAACTAGCAGAACCTGGCAGACATTGTTCTGTCCTTCATCTTCCTATCTCTATCTTTGTTTCCCTGCTCTCTCTTCATCTGCCCTTCTCTCCCCCTTGCCTTCCAGGAAAAATGTAATAGAATGTTCAAAAAGAACCGTTTTTATTGAGGCCTTTGGCCGTCACTTTTGTAGGGCACTCAGGCATTTGCCTGGTGTTGATTGGAGAAACCACAGAAAACTACTGATCAGAGCTGCAGGCCGCTAGAATTCTCCTCCAGACAGCGACTGAACTCAACCTAGCTGACAAGTTAGTGTCAAAAATCCTGCCACCATTTACTAAATGGAATATCTTAACTATGTGAGTTTACAGACTTGGAACTGAAAAGTTACTGAAATCTGTTAACTCAATTTTGATATTTTCCGAATTCATATGTTCTTGCCATGTTCAATTCTCTGGAAACTAGTGACCTCCTAATAGATGATGTCCTTACATTAGTAGCTGATGACATGACTGATTGCACGTTTAGCATACTCATTTTCAAACAAGTAATTATTTGTTACAAACCTCAGGGAATTTTATTATCATTAAAATGTTTTTCATTTTGTGCACAGGATTGCATGTATTTATTCTTTTAGCTTTCTCGCCCTTTCTTCTTAAGAATGAAAAAGTATTGCAATAGTGTAGCCGGATAACTGCAAATTTTAGACAGAAAAAAATCTTATTGCCAGATCCAGACTGTGTCAGCTCATGAACAGGCCAAACAGATTACCGAACAGCGGCAGATCCCGGGAAGGGGCATGGACACTGTGCCCCATTTGAATCCAATTTTTTATTTTCTTGCACTTTCGACAGGAAATCTCTAATTTTGGGCCCTGGAAACAGTGGATACATTCTATTGCTATACATAGTAAATTACTTCCTACAATACTATGTGTAGCCAGAATCCATGTTTTGTGGGTCCTTAAAACCAAAAAATTAATTGACGACAAAACATTTCTGGTCTGTCAATCTGTCTGAGGTCAACGCTTGTCTAATCTAAACGATTTGGCCTATTTTCTCTAAAATTAATATTCCCCGATCGCTCAGAGGTCTTAAGTTTTAGGAGTTTCAAACAGTTTGATTTTTAAGGGTATTTTACATGATGCCTCAAAAACATTTTCAAAATTTTCTTAAAAATGGCAACAAATTTTTTTAATTAACTTTGTTGTCGGATAGTTTAAAGAATGCTTGCAAAAATGGTACAGCACTCTTAAAATTCCAGATTTTTCGAAAATTGCAAATGTGCTTTTTGACTCTTTTAGTAACTACTATATTAAAGATATAGTTTTTTTTCTTAAATACACTTTGAAATAAGGTCATGTATAATTTTTCGAAAATATGAGTATTTTTGGTGTAATTTGGGGCAAAATATAGGCAATTTTAAACTTTTTTAAAACAACTTTTTCCCTTAAATATTCTCCTCGTGTGTATCAAGGGAAGGTAAAAATATGACCCCTTTTGCGGCGAATTCGATACTTTCAAAAATTGCACAAAGTTAAAATTTCAAAACTACAAAATTGACGGTAGAAATGTTTGCCTTAGATAAAGTTTGTTCCAAAAAAATTCGCTTCGTAATTCGTAAATTGTACAGTTTGTAAGTAAGTATTCGTAAATTGTACAGTACATAAAATTTGTAATATGTACAGTTTTTTGAAAGAAAAAAAAGAAGTAGTTTTTGCATAATTTGGGCTTGAAATTAATACAATTAATAAAACAAAACAAAACAAGAAAAAAAAAAACATTTTCAAATATTGCAAAAGTGCAAGGCATCTTTGTACAACTACAATTTTGAGATAGAGATTTTTTACGTAACGAAACCTGTGCTTTAAAGACTCATCTTAAAATGTACTTCTTGAAAAAGTTATGTACAATTTTTCAAAAATATGAGAAGTTTTCCCGTAATTTTGGGTGTAATATATAGGCATTTTTTAAATGATTTAAACAATTTTTTCTGTAAATTTCTTCCTCATATGTATCAGAGCACAGCAAAAAAATTGGTGCCGGTCTCATTTCCAGAAAAATGTATTTTTTGAAAAACTGCAAAATTTTAACATTTCAAATTACTGAATTGAAGATAATTAACTGAATTAAAGAATTTTGCTTTAATTAGGTGTTTTTAAAAATCAACCCTTTTCAAAACATCATTTACAATTATTTTTTTAAAGTAGTTTTTGCTTAATTTATGCTCGAAGTTTATGCATTTTATAGAACAAAAACCTCATAAAGTACTTCTTTTTTTCCCACTGATAGAACAAGGAATGCTTCAAAGAATGGTGCAGGTCCCATTGTGGTTTGAACCTCTATATTTTCTGCTTTTGAGTACCACTAGTTTTGATCTCTTAATGTTCTAGATTTGTAATTTTTATTCATTGAATGGTGTTGCAGAAGTTCAATTTAAAATCTGAAGTTACTATTTGTCCTGATAGAGTTAAGATGTGCCTATTTGTCTCCTTTCATCTAAACTATACATGATTTAGTGGGATTTTTCACCTTTTCCTTTCCCCCCTTTATCTGTGTTTTTCCCCATAATTTTTTTCTTCCTCATTTTTCACATGTATTTATATTTATTTTAATTTTTTGTTGTAACTTTCTTATTTTTTCTTCAAAATTCTTACAATAATCTCTCAATTGAAGGTTCTATCTTGCATTGTAGGCAGCTAAATTGTAATTTTTCACTCAATTCATTGATGAATATTATGAAACTATCGTGTTTTTGTCATGCTAATCTCATTAAAGTTGACCTTGGAAAGATTATATTCTACTATCTTAATATTCCTTATTGTCTTTTCCTTCAAATAGAAATTAAATTCACTTTTTGTTTGCTTTTCAGAACTACCAAAAGGTTAATCTTGTACTCTTAAAACACTTGAAAAGCTACCTTAATGTTTGTTAATTCTTATGTTCCATTTTAGATTGCTCTTATTATATATTTGGCTCATATTGGAAGTTTCGTACCTGCAACAAGTGCAACCATTGGTCTAGTGGATCATATTCATACACGTATACAGACTGTTGAATCGGTAGCCACACAAATATCTGCATTTGCTATTGATGTGAAACAGGTCTGTAAATATGTGAACTTTGCCAAAATCTGTTCAGAAAGATTTAGTGGGAAATATTTTGTTTCAATATTTTTATGATGCAGATGATACTATGTTTGTATTCATCAACACCAAATTCACTAATTATCGTGGATGAATTTGGAAAAGGCACATCAGAAGGTAGTGGACTTGCTTTACTCGCTGCTTGTTTGCAGCATTTCTTGAGCCGGGGAAGTAAATGCCCACATGTATTTATATCTACTCATTTTCATCGCATAATAAATATGCTCCCTAACAGCCCACTTTGTTCTTTCCAGGTAAATTGTTTGAATATAGATGCATACTTGTATGTAGCAATTGAAGCTTGTGATGAAACTAGTATTGTGGTATTTTTACTATTTTAGCTATTATTTATTTCAATTACAATTCTTTCAGCTTGTATTTCTTTAACTACGCCTTCTTGATATCTTTAATTGTAATATTAATATTTTTTAATAATTCATTACTTCTTTAATTTCACTGTAGACATTGGAATACATGATGGATGATAATGATCAAATAGTTTATTTATATAAACTGAAAGATGGAAATGTCACTTCTAGTTTGGCTGTAAAAGTTCTTCAATCTCTATCAATAGAAGAGAAAAATGTGAAGAAAGCATCAGAGGTAAACAATATTATAAACTATTGATAATTGTGACATATTTATACTACAGTAGGTGGCCGAATTATTAGGGTCAGGACTCAGATTTTTGTATTTTATATTTTAACTGCATTTTTTCAAACAAATTATTGGATTTTGGTGTAGTAGTAATTTTTTAATCTTAAGAGTGTTTTTCTAAAATCATTAAAACAATAAGATATTTAAGTAAAACTATTTTGAAATAAATTTAATACTAGTGTTTGCCACCCTTTGTGATGCAGAAAAATTTGAACAGACAAAAAAAGAAATTATTTTTGCTTTGAGTTATCAGGATATATTTTGGAAAAAGCCTTAAATTTCCTGCATGCAGAAATATGCTACAACATCAAACAATTTACATTCATGGTCTTCATATTTGTTTCAGTTTCTTGAAGCAATGAGTTCAGATAAACTAATAACAAGAGATCTTGCATCAAGAAGAGCTATTCAAATAAATATGTAAGTTTTTATTAGCTTTTAATATAAAATTTATAATTTTCAAGCACTCTTTAAGATATTACTGAGTTAATAGATTCTTGGCTGTACAGGTAACATCCTAGGTTCAGTTATCAATATTTCAGTCATCACACTGCAAAGTTCTTGAGAGTGAAACGCAATTCTGCCTAGAATGCAGCATCTCTTGGACAGTCAAGAATCTAATGACACTGGCCATGGAAGCCATTGTTATTACTTTTCTGAGCTATTTATGCAAATACGTCATTGGTGTAGATTGAAATGTATGATTTATGAAATTGATTTTTGCCAGTGTGGGTAAACAATTTTCTTTTTCCAAATTAAATGGTTCAAAACACTATACAAAGAAGATACTTTTGCACACAGATGGTACTTTCTTTTTATAACCAAAAAGAGTAGATATGAAACAAATAATGATTCATAATAAAAGTATTTTTATACATTTGTAGAATTTTTTATGTACAATAATAAAACCTCCATTTTCGTCATGCAAAAAGCAATCATTTCAAGCTATTGTTATAAAAATATTATTTTATTTACAGACAGTTTCAGTAATTTTTATTTTATTTTTCTAAACTATTTAGAGATAGAAGATGCATCATAATAAAATTTATTTGTGGTAAATTTTCTTTTTATATTACTGAATGTTGATGAGTTAGGTTGCTAATGAAAATTATATCCTACTTGCAGTGTTTTACATTTTTACTTCATTGTATTATATATTTATCATTCTAATATATATTAAATATCTACTTTTTAATCTATTTTTAGTATTCCTTGTACATTAATAATACTGTTAATATATTAACTGCTTTTTTTGTGTTCTGATCGTTTAGGAGAAGAGAAATTGCTTCCAAGTTCTTGTCTTCAGCATTTTCTGCAGAAGAACTTCAGAAACTTACATGTCTTCTAGAAAAATTTAAAGAAAAATGGGGATAAGAATATAAAAAACTTTGTATATTAATTGAAATGTTTTCAATAATCAATATAATATGAATGCTGTTTAACTAATTAATTTAATATATTAATAATATAATTATAATATAAATAATATACATAATATAAATATAATTCATTGTATTTTCATCCTATTAAAGATAAAAATGCATTAATTATTAGTGTTCTTAAAAAATATTCATCCTAGTATTAATATTTTTCTTTGAGTATTAATCACAAAATAATTGATTTTTCTGGGTTTGTAATATGCCCTTTAATCTTTCTATCATTTTGTAATGTTAATATAAGGATGATTTAAAACTTGTTTAAACATACATTTTTAATATTTATTTTATTCCAAAGATGAACATCATATTTTAATAATTCTGGTATACATATAGTTATTGTGAGTGTAAAAATGTTACATATTTCTAGTTGTCTTATGAGAAAGGTGAAACAAAACAATACTTATGAACAAGCCTCTGGGGGAGCATTTAAAATGTAAATCTGAAAACATCAGACTAATATTGAAAAATCAAACAATTTATGAATGCAAAAATTAGGGTTTGTAACTTCAGACCACAATCTTTCTTTACATTAGTTTGTGATTTCCATGTCAAGAAATACAAAATTGTTTTGTAATTGAATAATTTATAAAGTAGAATGTATAAATTAAATAAAAACTGCCAAAATTTTCTGTAAAGAAGGAAGATTCTTTTCTTTTTCTTTGATTATGTTTTAATTAAATCACTTATGTAGCACATGCATAAGTTTACTTTCTTGTGCTTGAGAAGGAACTTCTTAAGAAGAGAAAATTATGTAATGCTGTGTGGAAAAAATGGTGTTTGTCGCTAAAATACTTTGGCCAAAACGTTAGCTACCATGTCAACGGCTCATCTCGGATAGCCTAGATAATAAAAACGTCCATCTATGAACAACGATAGAAGCTTTTAAAGAGCTAAACCGTTCAGCTGATTTTCTCCAAAATTCCTCAATCGATCTAGCTGATGTCGCAGCCCCTTGAATTTGAAACCAATATTTTAATTTTGGGGGTACTTTACTTGAAAACCCTCGGGCATTTTCAAAAAAATGGCGCCATCGATTTTGATTAAATTTTTTTGTTAGTCTAAAGGATATTTAAGAGAATGGCACAGGTCTCATGTTGGTTGAAAATTGCCAAAATTCAATTTTTTTTGTCATCTTCCAACAACTTAAATATTAAATTGGAGTTTTTCCCTTAACAAAATCTGTTCTTTAAAGATTTTGAAATTAGGTCATGTTCAATTTTTTTGAAAGTTTAAGTTTTTTTTTTGTTGTTGTAAATTTTGCAAGAAATATTGGAAATTTTTAATCTTGTTTTAACAATTTTTTTTTGAAAACAAAATTGTTTTGGTGCCTTCCTACACCTACAATTATGAAGATACAGCTATTTATTTTTCTTAATGAAATGTGTTCACATAAAAACATCAAGTAAGGCCATGTTCAATTTTTCAACATTTTTTTGTGTGTAAATTGAAAAAAAAATTGAAATGGTAAATTCGAATTTCCAGCATTTCTTTTGAGTCATTGTCAGTCTGTAAAAGTAATTTGAGAGGCAGAAGCAGTTGGATATTCTCAAAAACTCCCTTAACTTGCATTGTCTGGCAGTGTTTTTACTCGTAAAAGTGTTTCTTCTGGAAGAAGGTGGTATCAACACCAAGATAGTGGATTTAAAATTTGTATTTCTGGTGTTAATATAACGAAAGGTAAAAAGAGCTTGAAGTTGGTCATTCCAATCTTCAAAAGATATTCCTTGTCTGAGTAATGTGAAAATGCATTGATAAATTGCTCAACACCGTACCAACTCTGTGAAATTGGTATTACTGTGTGACACTCATTCCCTTTTGAATAATGTTTGTGTGGACAATGCAGAAATAATTCATGCTTTAGTAAAATGAAGTTCTGCATCGTATATTAAATCATAAAGAATTCGTTTATTTAGGCTTTCATTCATAAAATTATGACATGGTTGGGTTGTAAATTCTTTTCTTTTGAATATTTGAAATTCTTCTTTTTTTTTTTTTAATTAAAGGTTTTTTGGAACATTTTTATATGAAGAGTTTTAATTAATGCTTTTGTTAAAACGAAATTTCTGCATCATATAATTCGTAAAAAATACAATTATTTAGATTATAATTCATAAAATTATAACATTGACGGTGAGAAAATCTTCAAGAGTGTGTGGAAGTGTGATTTTCACGGAGCCAAGTCTTTTGTAATACTTTGTGCCAGGGAAAATTATAATTACACTAAAATTAAAGAGGATAAAATGTTTTGACAATAAGATGTTTGTTCACTTTTAGATCCATCTAACAAACAAGACAGGTCACTATTAAATACTATATAATGCTAACAAAAACCAGAATTGATTCTATTGAGGTACCCCTTCAGAAAAAAATTATTCTTGTTTACCCTTTTCTTACTAGTATCAACAATGCTTATTGGCAAAATGCGTATCCCATACGAATTAACGGCTATTGTTGCTTTTGCTATTTTCTTTGTTAATATCAGCACAAATTTCATTTAGTTTATTTAAATACTCATGTTATGCTGTGATGCAAAAGTATATACTTTAAGTGCATAAAATATGTTTTTGATTTTCTTCATTTTCCGCTCGCTTTTCCTCCTCCAAACTTTGTTCTTCCAGAAACCAACTGTGCGCATCCTCAAGCAATAATTCATTCTTCCTTGGCACCATGCTCATTACGAGCGTTGCCTTTTAAATTTCAGGATTATGAGACAAAAACAAATAATAATCAATCGAAAATCACTTTATTGTTTCAAAATATTCCCCTTAGATCGTATGAACTTTTGCCTGGTTGAACCAAATTGTCGATGCCCTTTGCAACTCTGATTGAGGTATCTTCAAAACAGCATCTGAAATGCAGGCAACCGCTTCTCAGGTGGTCGAAAACGTTGACTCATGTTTGTTTTTTACGTACCGGGAATAAAAAGTATTTCGGTGCCAGTCAGGACTATACGGCGGATATCTAATCAATCGATTTTTGGGTGCCTCCAAAAATTGCAGTTGTTGAAGCCGATGTGCTGAGGACCTCGTCTATTGTCGTGTGGAGAGTGTTCGTCTCAGGCGGTTGTTTCCTGATTTCTTGGAAGAAGCTGGCAAACAGAATCGTTGTGTAACCACTCAGAATGGCTGTTCTGCGTGTTCTAGTGGTAGGTGCGACATGTCCAGTTTCCAAAATAAAACAACAGGCGACCATCTGTTTGCGAAGTGCTTCGTGCCGCGAACAACGTTTGTTGGATTTCTCATCTTGAAACACCATTACAGTCGACTGCTGTTTACTTTCGGAGCTCATACGCGTAAATCCACGATATTTCACCTGTCACGATGTCATAGACTGTTTTGAAAGCCACCGCGATCGTATATTTTTTGAGCATCTTCTTTCAACAATCTAACACGAGCCTATTTGTTGACGATTGACAAATTGGTGGGATTTGCAACGCGAAACAATTTTTTGAACAGTCAAATGTTCATGCAATCACTGAAATGGAGCTGTTCCACTAATGCCTAAGGTTATTTTCAATCTCACGATAGGGTCACATGACGATCTTGCAATATCAGTTCACGCACAGCACTCAGTAGTTTTCGAACAACAAGCTGAAGTTTGCGACGGACCTTCACGAAATTCGTTTTGAAGTGAACTACGACCACGTTTAAATCACCATACCCTCGATAACAAATCGGCCTTGATGGAGCTCTCGCCCAAAAATTAAATTAAGTTCATCCGATGGCCCTGTTGCTGAGTAATTCCACGTCGAAAGTTGTAAAAAATAACCGCACGAAAATGTTCACGATTTAATTCCATTTGGGGCCAAGAACTTTTAAGTTTACTGTAAAAACAAAATAGCGCTTGTATGTAAAACGTTTTGAGTACGTATAACCTCCAAATACATCCAACTATAGAGCTGCAAGTGCTAGATTGCACACCAGGGTTGCCAAATCCGGAAACATAAAAGGCAACCTTCGTCAATTCAATATCTTCTGCGATTAGTTTCCTCAAGTTACATTCATTTTAACATGCCTTGAAAAAAATCTGTCTCAGTTACGCTGTTCTTCTGACTGGTTCCATCTGCAGACAGAATCTGCTTTACAGAAGCAATTTATGGCCGTCGATAGCGTAAATTTTTTGCATGATTTTGATCGAAATGCACATCGTTAAAACAGTGATAGATTTTGTCAACTGTCACGGAATCACAATTCTGTCTATGTGGGCAAGTAAGGATTGCATAAGCAACGTATCTGCTACTGCCAATTTAAAGACTTAAATTATTGCTTTGGTCGAGGTTTGAGTCAAAAGGTGTATTCTGAGGTAACCAGCCCTACGTGACATTTGTGAAGGGAAAATGCTGATGACAATTGCGTTGTCGAGAAATAACCAGAAATTTCCTGTTTTGGGTTTCCCATTTGTATCAAATTCCTTAGTCATTCTTCTTAAGAGCCGCTGTCATTCCGCCCCTTTCTTGTTACTTTTTCCATTGAACTGAAAGGCCACGGATATACAAATTTTTGAAAGGCAACATCGTTTCTATCGCCTTTCTATTTGGTCAGTGGTCGGTTAAAATTTCCTTTGCATTGCAGCAAAGTATTAACCTCTGCAGTCAGCTGTTCTTTATTTAATTTCCATCGACACGCATTTCGCATACACTCAGAGGTTTTGTGAGGAACCTTTCTAAGAAACAATTTTTAAAAACAACTAAAAAACAGCAAGATTTGCCGCATAAAAAAGAACCGTTTGAGTATACCAGATCCAGATACTGAAAACACGTTTCCTTGATACAGCATCATGGATATGGAAACTCCCACGGTTTGTTTTGATGCATTAAAACGTCTATCTCGGTACCCAGATGTTATTTTCAGAATATTTCAGTCACTCACCTGCCTACATTGTGACCGCTGTACCTTTGACATACGTCTTGCAAGATGCTTCTTCTGAACGATTCGAACTATCCGTTTGAGGTCTTAAAATCACGTCGTAACTACGAAAACGATTTAAAATACCTTGGTCTGAGATAAGTCCCTTAAATTGGCACGCTCTTCGCCCGTGTTGCGCGAACCATTCCCAGGTGAGTTCGTTAACTCTTTCGCTTCCTATTTATAGCAGCCTTGTGTAGTATTCGTTGCAACCATATGTCCGTTATTAATTCATTCTATTAAAATATCGTACACACATTTTCTTTATTCCAAAATTTTTCAACAAATTGCAGTGAACTGTTATTCTTCCTTTGCACTTTTTACCCTTTCACAAGTTATTGCAATGTCAAGAGTTTTCTCTTCCCCGAACTCATTGTTCACGGAGCTCTACACCAAAGACACGATATGTACTTACCTAAAGACTTAAGCAGCTCAACCGATATTGAGAGGAAACTGACACTTTTCATACAAAACTCTAAGACTGAAAGAGAATGAGAAACAAATAAATTCCTCTTTGGGAATTAGACAACTAGCAGTTTGCGCTGCGTGTTCTAAGCACTTGCGCAGGTCATCCCTTCGTTTGAGTCTCCCCTTTCTGCTACCGCCGTGTCCCCAGCTCGGAATGAACTGAAAACTGTCCGTTTCCGCTTTCAGCAGGTTTCGTCAACAGCGGGTAAAATTACAAGCATTTTATATAGCAAACATATGGGACCGACATTTTTCTGTTGATGCCAGTTGTCCGTAATTACTAGGTTACCGCCAAATTTAAGTTATTTTCCATTTCAAAATGTCCTTTATTGTCAGTAATAAGTCCTCACATCACGGTCCTTCGGGACCATGAAGCAATAATACGGAGAGGCCGCTTTGGTATTTTTATCGTTTCAACACTGCATTCACGGAATCCAACATAGTATTAATTATTTAATACATCTGGCTCCGCAGATCGCAAGTTCCGAATTGCTCGGGCGTGTGCGCGGCAGCGACGTTCTGCACAAAATTGCACAGAGAGCAGGAGCGATTGGCGCTCCTGCTATAAAATAATCTGTATTATAAAGCAGGGAACGCATTTGGACCGCCCGGTACGGCACTGTAGCACTGGCAAAAATGTATTAATGACATGCCACCTATTGCAAAGGCTCGGTTCCACCCGACAGCGGAAGGCCCGTCCGGAAGGCTTCCCCGAGAATTAAATCTGGTGGAAGCGGATGGCCAGAACGCCTTGGCGAATGGCTTTGGGAGATGTTGACGTGGTGTTAAGGAATTAAAGGTTGAAATTGCGAACGCTTGTTATTGGGTATCACTCATCATCTTCCTTCCTCGTTAGTCCCGATGCAGTCACAAATACTAACACATGAACATTAAGGGGGAAGTATAAAATAGTTTCTAAGCTAGTACGTGACGTTAATTCCAGTATTTACATGGAGACATTTATAATACACAGACACAAAATAAATTATATACCTGAGCAGGTTTTAATGTCGTACGTTAAATGCAATAGAATAAATAGTTTGAGGATTAGCTCATGGAAATTTTATGCTGCTTTTATGCTAGGACAAGTTAAACATTTGCTATTTTCGAAAATTCATCGGCTTTAATAAAATCGGACTTCATATGTGATCTAACCTGTAAATATTCGAACAAGAAAATGTTAAAAAATGTGGTACATGCTTCTAACAAAGTAGTATCCCTTAATATTTTTTTAATCCTTTAAAATTTGTAGAATCTGAAGTTTGGTCAAATCAAATTAATTGAATTGGTTTTGGAAAATATTCTGACGATTTCGAACTAATATTGTTCACAGAATTTGTGTTACCGCCGATTACAGTGTTCCCTTGTTATCATCAGTTCCTCTTTTTATCAATTGATCATGAGTTCCTCTCCATCGCTACTAGAATAAGCGACGCAATACCTTACAAGTCGAGCCGAACGACGCTGGACTGCGCCGTGCCGGGCAGTGGAAATGGGTTTCGTTCCTTAAAAGACGAAACCCATTATAACCGCCCGGCCTGGCACGTCCTTAAAGGACGTGCCTTGCGTCATCAGTGAGTATCAAGCAACCTAGAGTATAGAGATGGATTTGGTGGGTAAAAAAATAATTGAGAACAGTTTGGAGGTGAATTTCACGTAGAACCGAGCTAGTCACACCACAAATAATGGCTGGAGTGATGAAATGAAAAGGATGGGCATTTTTTGAAGTGGAATTCTATAAATTTAAATTAGCCTGAAGTTAAGACTTTGAATTTCATAAGAATTTAATTTCTTGGCCGAGCGGGAGACGCCGTGTCCTAGGCACTGTTGCCAACGTTTCTCGTCGTGGTTACTGTGACCAGGGCAAAATCTGCAGAGGTGAACTGCGTACAGGCAGAATGAGGTTCCCCTCCACTCTGCTACACGGGCACTTGGACCGATAAGCAGATTAATTGACAATCGTTTAAAAACACTTATTTGGAATCAAGGGAAACCAGAAACTGTATTTGCGTTAAAACCTCGAAATCAATTTTTCCCAGCATTACATATCTTTATACTTCCCCAAGAAAGAAAAGGTGTATGTCAAGAGTGTCGGTCGGCCTTGTGTGACAGAGACTTACGGCAGGTAGCCCAAGTACGTGCACAATATTTATGTGGGTTCGAAACCTGCATAAATACTGCGTATTATGCTGTAATACAACTTAAAACGCCCAGACGAACTTTAATTTAAGGTGCATTCACAATCGTCCGTGTATCACAAGTACCCTAATCCTTTTGTAATATCTTGGCAAGGACAATAACTGTGTGTGAGATATGCGTGCAATCAGTATGTGTGTGATTGAGTAACTGGATCTTTACTCCTAGGAGTAATAAAACAAGCACTAATATGGAGCCGTGGATTTCGTGGGCGTAATGATATAGGATCGAGATGTGCCTATAGACTTTCTTGACGTGCTTGGGGAACTTGAGAGACTCTTCACAGAGAATTATCCTCAGGAGAGTGGTCGGTAGCGCTGGAGGCCCTGGTAGGTCTTTCAGGCCACGGTCGATGGCAGCTGGGCAGGAGGTGAGGCAGAATTGAAAATTTAGTCCCGACTCAAAACAATAGGAAACAAACTTATACGAAAAAGTTAGTGTTATTTAGTAGTACTACTAATTTACAATACTTACACAAATAAATATCCAACATAAGCGTCAAATTTATTTAAGTAGTCACCGCTATTTACATAGAAAACGGTTTTAGGTGCTTAATAGATTTTTTAAGGAATTATCTAAGAATGATCTAGAAGGAACAGGGGAAAATGGTTAGATGCGCACCGATAATCCGAGACACGTCAATTGACACTTTCTTCGCCCCGAATGGGGGAGAGGAAAAGTTTTATCCGTGACTAACACGCAAACAGGTTACTCGATTACAAATGTTTAATGAAAATTTCCCCACCTACCCTCGACACACAAATATTGACACCAAATAGACACGGACAGGTAGACACGTAAATGTTCTTATGAATGCATGTTCGTTTTGGTATATTCTGAATCCCAAGGCAGCCACAATCCATATAAATTCAGGGCCATTGAAATTTATAACATTGAGGATTATAACAGACTTCTATTCCTTGTTTGCGAGTCTGTATACTTATCAGTGCATGGCATTTCGCCAGTAACCGACACGATAACACCCGCACCCAAAGTCTGGGCGTATTGAAATACATGCTTATTTTTACATATGTCAGAAAGATCAGTCTAATGTACATGGGTTACTGGTTGAATGGAATATACTGTATGTCAAAAATGTTTGGTTTTTTTATTGTTGCATGTACTGGAGGCAGAAACATTTGACTAATGAAAGCAAAGAATTAATTTGTTTTCATTCCTGCAAGGAAGGGAATACTGTGAACCTCGCCTGGTTTTGGCCGTTTAAAAATTTCCAAAATGTCTGCAATTCCAGGTATGAAAAGCTCTCAATAAGCGACAAAACAATAATTTCATCTCAATTCTTAGAATGATTTGTTGGTAAGCCTTAATTCAGTATCACGTTGACAGATATTTATCATACTATAACAGTTGTGGCATTTACTTACAAACATCATGTTATTGTCCCGCATCTATACAATGTTTTAAAGGAAAATAAACTACTTTAGTCTATGTTTTTATACCCATTAAGAGTTAATTTTTGTTGTTGACGCGGCATTTGTGGAATTGTTAGTATGTATTACAGATTTTTGGGGTCTGTAATTGTGATATAAAAATCTAATTGCACCGTTTAATATCACATTTGAAACGAGATAATTTCAGTACTATTTTAACACAGTGCAACTGCGAATATTTACTTGAATTCTCTTTATAATGTACATAGACTATTAAATAAACTATTTTACACCATTCTTTAATCACTTTTTAAAATTATTTTTATTAATATACATAGATATAACAGCATAGTTGTTCCCGTCTAGATGATGCTGCGGAAATATTGCGTAGAAGTCTCAATCAAATGATGCACCCTTATCGGATGTTCAAGGCTGGAAATTTGTAAAAATTAATACAGTACGAACAAAGAAACTAATGTATCTGCAATTGAGTTTCATTAATTTTTTAACTTTTAATTCAAAATATTGATAAATTGTTTTCGTGAACAAAAATTAGTCAATAGATCAATTAGTCAATCTTTTACTTGAGGTTCGGCAATTTTTGAAAGCGGTACACAATATTTCTATTGTAAAACAATTTTACTTGAAACGATTTCTGTATTCTAAAAATGCCAAATTCAAGGAAAAGCCTCGAAACAAATCGGCGGATATTGAATTACGTGCTTTTCTTTGTCGAAGAGTTGGCCAGGAAATTTACGCAGGAAATTTCTCCTAATGCCTAAAGATTTGGAAGAGTTCGCCGCAGAGCGAACAAGAGCTTCCCTTTTTACTTTCCTGCATAGTACTTACATACGGAGTAATGTTCGTAGTATAGGGAAAGTTATATAATGCTGTGGAAAATCGATTTGCTCTTAAAATATTTCCTCTCTATCATTAGAAAACCGAAAAATTTAGAAGGGTGCGTTTTAGACGGTTGGAAGAAGGGAGGAAGCTATGACGTCAGCGAGGAGAAGGTAGGAGAGATGACCAGAGGGCACTTGTAACGACTCCTGTCTCAGCAACGGTGCGAAAAGGTTGTGATGGACCTAGGCAGAGAGAATAGGACACGTAATCTTGCTCTGTGTAAAGAAAACGGGCGAATGATTCGCAAGCGGAAGCAATCATTGTGCAGTTATCATGAAGTCAGAAAAGCAGGATTTTAGAATTTAGTAATTTGAATGATCAGTAATAAGTACGTTGAACTATTCGTGTTTGTGAACGTGAAACGTAAAATTAAATTGATGCTTCAGCAGACCCGTCATGACGGACCTACAATGTTTTGATGCTCTGTTCAAAGTTGGGATCCTTTTCACTTTTAAAACAATGATTTACATAGTGCAAGGTGTTCAGACGGTTCCAGCAAGTAATCTTTTAAATGTTGGATGAAATGTTTTAATGTTGGATGAAATTAGTTTAACCAAACGACTTCTATAATGATTATATTAAAACCCAGGAGAAGAAAGGACTATTCACAGAACTTTCTACTAACGTGTTTCTTCCTATTCTGCCAAATTCATAAATTGTTGTTCTTTTTGTTTCAGACCCTTCTGACGAAGCTCTTTCTGTGGCAATTGGATGTGAATTATTCTCTTACGAAGCAAAAGTAAGAAAGGCGACTTTCTCACATTTCATGTTATTATATTGTAATGTTGCGATACTATTAATATATTTGTTCTGGAATGAAGTTACCAGCTGAACAATCTGCAAAAGAAATATTGATTTTCGGGTAATGGAATGTGATGATATTAATTATGGTAACTACTTTAGTCATTTCAATATAGCTATCTGTTTCTTGTATACGTACGTATATACGGAGTAATACACGTAGTAATATGCGTAGTATAGAGAAAGTTATGTAATGCTGTGGAAAGTCGATTTCGATACTTCAACGGAAATACACGTTTTGGCATCCCCTTACACCGAAAAATTGTTATTTTTTTCAAAACGTTCGTTTGTTCGTTCGTTCGTCCGTCTGTCGTCAGTGAACAACACTAGCACCTTAACTATGGGTAGGTTTTTTTTCAAACTGAATAAACCCCTGTCGATCTGGCCTTACGAGTACTCGAAAACTGCAAAAGATTGGAATTTTTTCGGCGTCATCCTACAACTACAAAATAGAATATAGAGATTTTTCCTTTTTTTTTATTAAGTTCATGTACTTTTTTTTGAAAAATTTAGTAGTTTACGCGAAATATTGAGTGAAATATGTGTAATATTAAACAATATTAAAAATAAAAATTTCTCACAAACGGCTTCAAATTTTTTTCTTAAAACGTTTGATAGGGATAGTACTCCATTTACTTTTTAAAATGACATAAATTCTATTTTCTCTATTCTTTTGTTTTCTCAAAAGTTACAAAAATGTATTATTTTACATTTCTCTCACGTTGTTAATATTTACATTACGTTCGATTTGTTTTCATTATTTTTTTGAATTCAATTGAATTTCTTCAAACAAGTGAATTAATTGATATAAAGTTTTTTCATTATTTCTCTCTACTCCTATTTTTCCACTTAAGTGAAAGTTAAGTGAAACATTTGAATTTGGCAGAATTCCTCAAACCTTCTACAATCTGCTGTGGTAGTAAATTCCTGCGTTAACATGTGGCAACGCAGCAGTCGTTAAAATAATGGCTGACATCGATGTTGGTATGAGACAGTGTTGTGTGATTGAATCCTTGAAAGCAAAAAGTGAAAAGCCCATTCTCATTCATGAAAGACTGAAAAATGTGAACGGTGATGCATCAGGGGATGATCTCATTGTGTCATGATGGGTTCGTCGCTGTAACGAAGCTGAAGGGGGTGCTGGGGGACATCATTTACGGTGATCTCTGGGTGCAGATAATGCGACACCATTCATCTGCAGTAACCCGACGGTCATCACGAATGATGTCATCGATTGTCTGCATGTTGCGTGGCCTTACTGCAGTCACCGACCTGCCGCTTCACTTTTCGTCAGACAACGATGATTGCCCTTCAGCTTCGGTACGGCGATGAACCCATCCTCGAACAGTGCTCACATCCACTGTTGTCAGTATTCACATTTGTCAGTATTTTATGAATGAGAATGGGGCATTTCTCTTTCTGCATTCAAAAATTCAACCACACATCGGACTCATACAAACATCGATGTCGGCTATTTTTTAAAAGACTACTGTGCCCCCCAAATGTTGACTCAGAAAGTTACTATTGCTGTATAATGTAAAAGAAGGTTTGAGGAGTTGTGAGAAATTCAAGTTTTTCACTTAACTAATTTTAAAAATTAAATTTATTTAAAGAATTGGTTGCCACGATCGGGATATGAACCCGGGCCTTCTGGTTTACATCCAGAGCAGCTAGGCTTGAACATGTTGATTAAACTTTGTCCTCGCGTAGCGTAAAGCAATAAAAAAAAGCGTGGGTCTCATATTCGTTGAAATTCCTTATTTTTCGGAAAGTTTAAAATTATTTAGTCATTTTCCTGCATTTACAATAGAGTAGGCTTTTCTTCAAAGACGAAGACACAAATAAGATCATGAACAATTTTTCAAAAATATGAGTAATTTTGCGTAATTCTGCGTGAATCGTAGGCAATTTTTAAACAATTATCCAATCCGAATTATTCAAAGTACTTCGTTTTTTCTTTACGTTGTTTTTTCGTATGTAAGAACGAACGGTAAAGAAAGTGATGCAGGTCGTATTTTTCCTAAACTCTTCAAATTTTCGAAAATAACAAAAGATTTTAAAAAATCATTGCAAATTTGAATTTATCATCTTGTTTTGCTAGAAGACGATTTTTCTGTTTTGGGGTGAAAGGAGCGGTGTTTTGTATTGTCGAATTTGTGTTGCGATATTAGCTCAAGTCTTCGCGCGTAATACGCTACGATTGGTAATGAGTTTTGACGGAAATGTGTTAATATTAGGGTATTATTGGTGTATTTTGGTATTGGTAGATTTTACGTAACTGTTAATAAGGCTAGAATGTACGTGATGTCATAGAATAACTAGTTTTTACTGAATTTAGTATGAAAACCAAGTAATCTCATTAGCTTTTGAACCACAATAGACTCTTCACCATTTTGTGAATGACCAGGTCGGGAGCCCTGTTACCCTTACTATTAACTGAACTTCATCTCAAAATCCTCATTGTCAAACACCAAAAACTTAATTTAATCTATTGTGTTGCCAAAATTTCAAGAATAAATGAAATGCATACATTTTTATGACTTACCTTTTCAACGGTGCGAAAAGATCATTTCGTGTAATATCAAATGCTTTATAGTTTGAGTTAACATCTGGCTTAATTGTTGGAACACCGTAGCCTGATAGAGTTGTAACGCGTTGGTTGGAGAGATAAAACTAACTGGCATCAACATCATCTCGATCATATCTCCATCATTTTTATTATTCTGTAATTTTTCTAAGTCGTAGTTTGCAAGTAAAGAATAATTGAAGTCCGAAGCTCAAATAACTCCAAAAGAGCTTTTTCAATGACACAGTTCGAATTTGGTTGAATAGTTCTCTCGTAGAAGGAGGTGACAGATTCAACTTTGCGCTATTGACATTTATAAAGTCTGAAAGCCCTATTTCATTTCTTCTATTAGGGTTCCAAAAAACTGAGAAAATGTGTTTTTAGCGCCAGTAGGTAGCAGCCTAGAAGAGAGAAGAAAACAGAAAACTAGCCGGGCTAAAGAGAGTAGGAAACTAACTAGTACAAGAAAGTCTACGCCGTTTTGTAACATCACTAGTTCAGTCTGATTTTTAAGAGATATTCATCATTTTTCTTCCACTATATTACGTTTGTGAGACAAAAAGTTTTTCGGAGAATAATATATTCATAACTCATTTCAGAAAATTGTGGCTGATGAATTATTACAAGTCCCGAGTGATGAGGACTGGAAACAGCACATGACTAGATTGGACTTGCTTTCGCTGCCTAACGGACAGTACTTGGATATTACTGTGGTGCCAATATTACTTCTCGGTCTTACTGCTTTAGCAGAAGAAAGGTAAGTGGTACTAATGTACATGGATGGATGGAAATGATTTGGGATTTTTTATGTAAATAAATACTTTCTAGCGTTTCATATTTCCGTGAAATGTGTCTAGTAGAGTAGTGCGAAATACATTTTCTTCGGTGTATTTTTTTTCTTTTTAGAGGGTTGTCAATTATTATTCGAGAGCTTTGGAAACTACTTGGTTTTGAAATGAACCACCGGGACTCCGCATAATGTCTTCTATCAGTCAACGTAGATATTAATTTTTCTACCATGAAAAATAGTAAAACCATTTAGTTTTCAAATCACTAACAAGTATGCCACTTTAGAATTGACTGAATTGAGATACTTCAAATGGTGTTACGTCAATAATGTGTTATTATATAATGTTCATATTCAATATGGCGTGCAATTGTATATTTGAAATGCATTGAGCACATTTGTATTTAGCTTTCTATAAATTTGTTATTACAAAACCAAATTGAAACATCTTACATTGGTTTTTTTTAAAAGAATTTTCAACATCATTAGAATGATCAACAAAAAGTACTATTTATCCGATTCTAAAGAACAAGAATTCTGATTTTATTGTACATATAGAAAAAAACATGTCAGAACTGAAGATTGATCCATGCCGCCCTCCATGCTTAATTGGCAATGCTTAAAAATTTGAGTAAACGTTCTTTCATGCCAGTTCGGCGTTACTACTCTTCGAGATAAAGGTTGAAGGTATTGAATACATCCAATCTAGGACAAAGCCACAAATTCCATATGAAGGGAATTTTTATACCACAATGCTTTGTTTAATTACACCAAATACTTTCAGACGCAGATCTAATATTATTCCAATACGCGCTATATTTTGATCCATTTATGAAATAATTTTAACTAAGGCAAACCCGACGGTTCTAGTCGATTTTGATTTTATAAATTTATGTTGTCAGAATAGAAACGCTTGTTTTTCCCAAGAAAAGTTTCCATACGTTTGTATAAAATATTTTAAAGAATTGGGGAAATTCCCAATTTTCCTAAAATCACTAACGCCATCGACCGTTTTGCAATGAATTATTCTGTGGCTTTTCCTGATAACTGCCTCTGCTTATCGGGACTCGCATAATCTTAAGCCTCCTTTTGTATCAAATCTTGACTTACGATGAATAAGTGCGTGTAATTTTTTTCTAAATAAAATCATCAAAACTGATTTTTTTCTTCTTCAAAATAGTCCCCTTGAATACATTCGTGCAAATATTTTTACAGCCCTCGAAGTACTTTTGAAACGCAGTTTTCTGTAAGGCTTTTGCCTAACGAGAAGATTGTTGACCCTCTCTAAAAGTAATAGCGTCAAACACGAACTAAATATTCTCAGAAATATCCTAAAAAAAGCATCAAGGAAACATAAAAATAATGAATTTTATGAACTTATTCAGTCTTTCAGTACACAAAACAACACAATTTGACAAATCACAAAAAAGAAACTCAGGGAAAAAATCATAATTCCTCCAATTAAAGCAACAACAACAAAAGTATATACTCCCTTTCAAAAGACAGAAAATTCCGCCAATTATTTTTCGTCCACCTTTATCACCAAAACCAAGCAATACCATCCATCTCACCAAGTAATCAATAATGCATCATATACTCCTACTTACGGACTACACTATGTCTTGAAATGTACGGAAACAGTGAGCAGAACCTTTCTTTTGGACTTGTGTGTTTAGCAAGCTTCCGTGTAAGAGGAGTGAGTCTAAGTCTTGACGTCATAACAATTCATCCATGTTTCTTCACCAGTTAGTATGACCTGTTTCAGCAATTCTGAATCGTTGTTGACTTCTTTAGGCATTTCCTGAGAAATTTTCGTTTAACAACGCTTTTGACGGAATTCCAACAATTTCGGAATACATTTTTACTTTTTCACATTTCAAGCCTAAAACATCCAAAAAATAGGAATAATGGGTCATTTCCCAATTCCGGAACCACTAGATCCCCTCCTCGAACGTTGAAAATGTCCGTCATTGGCACTCTCAGTTTTTATTGACCCTCTATGTACTCGTAAACGTGATTATTCTACTTACGATACTTGTATTCGTATGTTGTTTATGTAATTTATATGTTGAAAATATACACAATCCTTAATAAATAAACTTTGGATTATCAATTTTCGTACCTGAGGTAATCTCGGATCCAATATCCTTGGATACTCGCAAGTATGCACAAATAAAATTTGATAAGAAATAAAATTGTTGATATTATTTGTACAAAGTATTCAAATGCATTGTGTTGATAAATGTTGAACAGAAATTAAATTACTTCCGGACATTGAACATATACATTGATTTTTATAAGGGAGATATCTAAAAACAAATGGTATTGTGAATAAAACAAGAACGTTTCGAGCAAATAACCTTGAAAGTGTTAATTTTACAATCAAACCTTGTAGGAACTTTTTTGTAGGAAATTTTATCTACTTTAATTTTATATAAAGCTTAAGTTTTTGCGGAATGGATAGTTATGAATATATATGCAAAAAAGTAGAAAGAACACTTTTAAACGGTCCCCCCACCTCCTGCTCACCCACCATTTTAGGACATTTAGTATAACTTGCGGTTGGTAGCAACAAACAATCATACCAAGTTTCAAAACTCCGGGATTTTTCATTCAATTTGTCTAATTTGACTGGGTTAATAATAGTAATGGATGCAAATAAACGATTTTTGGGTTCGTTAAGAGTTAACTTACTTTTATGTCTACATTTTCTAAGAACGCAAGGTAATCTAGAGCCGACCCGGTGGCCGAGATCGCTAAGGCAGTAGTGTCGTAGCCATCTCGGTCCGAAGGATCGCGGGTTCGCGTCCCGCCTCGCGTATGGTTGTATTGTGTTCGTCCTTTCACCCCCTATCATCATCATATTGTATCATTATCACAGTTACCATACCGTTACAAGCAATAGTTGTCGCTAATGATCTAGAAGTTGACGCGACCTTAAATAACAAAAAATAATAAGTAATCTAGAGCTCGATTTGTTGGGGGTCAGTAGATTCAAATCATTTTGAGTGCAAGCTCTGCATTCTGCGAAAAACAGAGTTTACCGCTCGGGATTGTACACGTCGAGCTCTATTTGTAAGACCAGGAAGTCGCTTGCCGCAATTGTTTATCCGTAAGTCGGCGGGCGATTGTCGTCGGTCGCGTAGCGCCCGAGCTGCGTGTGATCACTTGCTTGCAGCACATTCTGGAAATTCAATGGTAAAAGGCTAAATCGAATAAACAAAATCTTCAAATTATTCAAAACAAATTATTTTGAAAAATTCTACATCACGCACCTTCCAAAACACAAATTCAAAATGAACTAAATGTCCCTGAAATTCATGATTAGATTAAACACTATAATCTCAGTTTTTTAATACTCTTCCTTCATTACATCATGCAAAATGTTTAATCTTTGTGAAACGTGACCTTTTCCTTGTAGAATTAATTCCAAGTTTCCTAAAAATGAATTTCATCCTCCATAATTTTATTTTCTCTTACTTCTTTTCCATCTTTACAACATTTTTCATATTCTTAAATTTTGTATTCA